GAGGAGGAGGAGGAGGAGGAGGAGGGGGAGGAGGAGGAGAGCACAGAGAAGGGGAAGGCGGAGGGGTGACAGTGGCAGCAGCTGCAAGGATTTCTCTTGGTGCCTGACAACTACTAAGTACTCACCATATACAGGTTTACTGAACTAAAAGGGCAAACGTGAAATCATTTGGCCCCTGGCTTGAGTTCAACTGTTACACGTTTGAGTTTTTCAGCAGCAGGTTTTTCCAAAGCTGAAATCACTCAAAGAATTCACAGCACAGAAACATCACGGGTTATTTTAGTTTGCACTCAGCCTCCCTGGTGACACGCTGGGCTCATTCAGCAAGTCCTGCCCAAACCATGCAGCAGCGCCCAGCCCAGCTAGGTGCTGCAGCCATGCTTACCTGGGTGTAAGGCGAGATGAAGCTGGTGATGCAGACCAAGCCTGCATCCGCGAACAGCTTGGCAACCTCAGCGATGCGTCGCACATTCTCCTCCCGGTCCTCGGGGCTGAAGCCCAGGTTCTTGTTGAGCCCCTGGCGAATGTTGTCACCATCCAGGGTGTAGCACGGGATGCCATGGCAGACCAGGTGCTCCTCCAGGGCCATGCTCACCGTGGTCTTCCCTGCCCCTGACAGGCCTGCAATAGGAAGGTGCAGTGCAGAGCAGTGACTGACAGCATGGGACTGAGGACCGAGGAGCAGGGAGGAGTGGGCTGCCTCACGGTCAGCCGCCTCCCCATACCCCTCTCCACACCCAGTAAAACAGCCACAAGCATTTGCTGTGAGGACTCCTCTCTGATATCTGAATCTACGCCCCAGGGCACCCAGAGTCACTGATAAGCACCCAAGGGGATATGACCTATTTTAGCATCCAACTCGGCATCCAGCTCTGCTAGGTAGCTGTACTCGCTTCTCGCTTTGTCTCCTGCTAACACTTCAGATGTCCCTCATCCAAAGACAGTGTTCTGGCCCTCAGATAGGTTGCTAACTTAACTGGTTGCTAACCAGGGAGTGGTGTGGGGTCTGTATATTACAATAGTTATAACAAAGAAATGGTCAAAGGAAACTCCTTGATAGCTTTGCTTTTGTTTATATAACTGTTAACAAGGTGTTGTGATATACAACAGGATGTAAAACTACAGCACTCCATAGTACAGTACAGTCTACAGCAATTACTGTATCAGCAAAGTGCACTAGACAAAAGTCACTGAGCCAGGCATGGTGGTGCGTGCCTATAATCCCAGCAGTTGGGAGGCTGAGGCAGGAAGACCACTGCAAATTCAAGGCTAGCCTAGGCTACAAAGTGAGTTCAATGCCAGCCTGAGCTGCATAGCGAGACCCTGTCTCAAAAAAAAACTAAACTAAACTAAACTAACCTAAACTAAACTAAAGGGAGAACCCATCATAGAAGACCCCACATTGCTTGTGAGTTCTGACTACAAATGCTCACAGTACATATATGGAAGAGTTCCACATGCTCTGACATAGACTAGGAAGGAGCCAGACACAGCAGAGCACTCCTCTCATGGAGTCTGCAGTGCCTGGAGCAGAAACCAGAAGACCACAGCCTGCCTCAGGGGCTGGAGAGCCGAGCCAGCCCTGGCAAGCAGGGAGCCCCGGGAAGGAGCGGACTGAAGACTGACAACCCTGACCAAAGCAATCCCCAAAATCACACCAATAGTACCCAGACTCATTAGTGGGGAGACAAACAGAATATCCCACAAAACAGAGCATCCAATAGTCTACAGATCCACTGCACCACAATTAACCTTCAGATACAACACAGTCCCAAACTAAATCCCTACGAAATTCTGATAATCGTTCAACCTAGTACAAAACATATATGGAAACACAAAAATGGGGGTCATACTGAAAACACAACCTTGATATTGCTGATATAGGACAAGGTCCAAGGATGTACACCACTGCTCCTGAGGTATCTGTGGAACAGATCCTGAGTAGGTGGACACCTAACACAGGACGGGGTTGGAGGAAGGTCCCAGAAAAAGGGGGTCCTAGGCCGGGGAGATGGCTCAGTAGAATAAGCACTTGCCTGACAAGCACAAGGGCCTGAGTTCAATCCCTGGTTCACTAAAAAAAAAAAAAAAAAAAAGGGGGGGGGGTCCTAGCCAAGGCATATTTGGGGGATGACGGACTATGTACATAGCACACAAAAATTAACTGTAGATGGGAAGTCACAGGATAACACAAAGTTTCTAAAAGGAGACAGAGGAAAGGATACCAAATGGAAAACAAAAAGCTCCTGGCCAGGCCTGCATCAATCCCAGCCACTCAGGGGGCTGAGGCAGAAGGGCAGCAGGCTCAAGGCCAGCCATGCAGCTCAGTGGCAGAGTGCTTATCTCTCATGCACAAGGCCCTGAGTTCAGTCCCCCAGCACTGCTAAATCAATCACCAAGTAAATAAACTGGGCCAGCCAAATAGCTCAGCAGACTAAAGCGCCTGCTTAGGCAAAGCACAGGGACCAGGAGTCAATCCCTGGCACCACAGACTGTGCCAGCCTCATCCCTGGGGTGTGCTGAGATGGCAATTGGGACTGGGGATGGTGGCACATGCCTGTAATCCCATCACTTGTGAGGCTGAAAACAGGATGGTCACTACAAGTTCGATCTACGTAGTGAGACCCTACAGACCCTCTAAATACATAAAATAAATAAACCATGAAGACCTGATTGAAATAAAGGGTTCATGAGTGAACACACCACAGTAATTTACTTAACACGACTAAAATACAAACAATTACAGAAATCTGATGTGAGAACAGAACAAAGTGCTGCAACCCTGGGCAATATAAACGCAACATCTTTCCAATCTAGATGCAGTGAAGAATAGGGAGACAGGAAAAATAAGGGTTGTCGGCATCCCTTTTTGTATGTGCACTAGGGACTGAACCCGGGGCCCTCACCCTGAGCTACATCCCCAGCCCTTCCAAGGTCACGAGACAGGGTCCTGCTAAGTCACTGAGTCACCCAAGCTGAACTCAAACTTCTTACCCCCATGCCTTGGTTTGTCCTGGGACTGCAGGTGTGAACCACCACTCCCAGATTTCTATACCATCTTTCATAGAAAAATTACATGCACTGTGTAATTTTAAACAATAGTTTCCTGACAACTGGCACCAATTTCTTAGGACTGGCCATTTGCACTGTTGACAAAGACTCTGGAAAACAGAGCCTGTCCCATGTGGCTGCAGACAGGATAAACTGGTATAAAATGGTAGTGGGCAGCCTGGTAAGATGTTACAGAATTTTAAATACCATTCTTATATGCAAAGGGATCCAGCCTTTCTTTACTTTCTCCCCTAAATCTTCACTCAATCTACCCTCTTCCCAGCCTGTTGTGGCTAAGCCCAGAAAAAGGTCCTGGGAAAACCACCACAACAGACTATCAGCGGCCAGAGCAAAGCTGAGAGACTCCTGGTCCCTGCCCCTCCACTCAGTGCAGCCCACACTGTCAGCTTCTTGGACCAGAATCAGGGTCACATTTACAGTCAGAGTTTAATCTAGTGTAGCATCTACTGAAGGCTCCTGTTAAGATACATGCTAGATTTTCATCTATGTTTACCCTTAATCCCAAGTAGAAAAGGAATTACCAGAAAGGAATGTGTTATAATTAAGCAACCACGTCAGTTATATGCTGTCTTTGTTCCCATTATAAGGGCAAAGCCAGAGCTTTCTTTCAGCTGGAACTGCCATCTACCAGGAATTTTCCAAAATGATAAACATGAAGAGAAAGAGGAGGGGAACAGGAATACATTCTCTAGGCTTTTTAGGAAACATGGGGTTGTTCCTTTGGCCACATATATGCGAATCTACAAAGAGGGTGACATTGTAGACATGGAGGAATGGGTACTGTGCAGAAAGGAATGCCTCACAAATGTTGCCATGGCAAATTGGGAAGAGTCTACAGTGTTACTCAGCATGCTGCTGGTATTGTGTAAAGAAGCAAGTTAAGGGCCAGATACTTGCCAAGAGGATTAATGTGCATATTGAGCTTATTAAACACTCAAAGAATTGAGATAGCTTCCTAAGTGTAGAGGAATACAATCTGAAAAAGAAGGAAGCCAAAGAGAAAGGTACCTGGATTCAACTGAAGCACCAGCCTGACCAGCCCGAAGAAGTATACTTTGTGAAAAGCCCTGGGAAGGAGCCTGAGCGCTGTAGCCTGTTCCCTACGAATTCGTGGCGCAGCTGGGGATGGAGCTCTCCCACACAGCCCTGAACTGGTAGCTGCATGTTCTCGGTCCTACTTAAAAACAAAAAATTGTCCTACGTTGTAGGATGGGTTTCTTAGCTGAACAGCTGTATGGTGCCTTTCCCTCAGAAATATCTGCAGTAGCTGCCCATTCTACCTAGCTAAAGGTATCAGGTCTGTCCTCTTTAGTGCCTTTCTTGCTGAATAGTATTGCTGAAGCATTGAGTAATTGTATACCCAAATGGTCAAATATTCATGGAATATTTATATTGGTTTGGACATGCTGTAAATCATGATAGGGAAAACATGTATCAAAATAAATGGAAGTCACTTCAGTTAAATAAATTGTTTAAGGCATAGGCACGCACACACACACACACACACACACACACAGATCAGAGCTAAAAAGTAAAGCAGCAGAATCCTACAATCCAGGGCTATCTGTAACACTGCTTTTCGGTACCTTAATGTTTATTAGTACAGGTCGGCGCCTCACAACTGCATCTATCATGGGGAGGGGCCCTGGACAAAGCACACCTGGCTTCCCCGTGACCATACCTGTCAGCCACACTGTGCATCCCCGGAAGCCGCCTCGCGTGCCCACCACCTGCCCTCTCTTGTTCCTGCTCACGTGGTGGGCTTGGTACGTGACATTGGTCGCTCTCTGCATCCCCTGGAGAAACAAATAAAGCATTCAGATTTGTGTCCTTGAAAAGGGAAATGCAGGTTCCTTGTAAACATATAGTTGGGAGGCTGAGGAGATAGCTCAGCAGACTAAGCACCTGCCTGGCGAGCACAAGGGCCCAGGTTCGATCCCCGGCACCACATGACCTGCTGGCCCCACTCCCTAGAGTGCTGTGTCAGCCACAACACTGAGCATGGTGGAGCACGCCTGTAATCCCAGTGCTAAAGAGGTTGAGACAGAAGGATCACTATGAGCCCAAGCTGCGTAAGGAGACCTTGTACCAAATACATACATACATACATACATACATACATAAATGATTTTTTGAAAAACAAGGGGCCAGGGAGATAGCTCAGTAGAATAAGTGCTTGCCTGGCAAGTGCAAGGGCATGAGTTCAATCCCCAGTTCCATAAAAAAACACAAAAACAAAAGAAACATATAGTTGGTACACTTGGTGTAACCTGCACCTCCCTGGAGTTCTGCAGAGAAAACCAGTCACCTTGGTTTTCCTTGGGGAGCTAATGTGATCTTCGGGCTTCCCACATGAAGAAGAATAAACATAATCTTCACAGTAACCCAACAACATAGGCACTGCAAACCAGAAGTTTTTATGGACAACGATGTTAACCCTGAGAAGTGCCATACACTTGCCAAGACCCCAGGACTAGTGAACGGAGAAATCCTCAGCCTAGGGCTGGGGCCAGATCAAAGCCCACAGCCACCAAGCTAGCCTGGCCACGTGATGGCCTGGACACTGGGGCACCAAGTGGAGTGTGGGCCTGGACTGCTGAGTCAGGGCTGGCTCTCCCCAGGTTGTGGCACTCGTTCCCCACTCCTACCCCAAGCAGCCTCCAGGCAGGAGGTGAGGTGCGGAGTGCGGCTGCCCCTCCTGTGCTTCCACTTCTGTGCCTACCCTGTGCTGCGGTGGCGTTCCTGCTCCAGGCTTCCTTAGCTCAGGAAGGTGCTGCTGTGCGCACACAGCTGTTCAGTTCACGCTTCCACAGAAGGACAGGCACTGACACCCCCACCAAGAACCCATGAAGAATGGGACGGTTTTAAAAGCAAGGAATTCCCATCTAGACCGTCAACTTCGGCACAGAGCCTCTAAATCTGCTCTGCCCATGAAGGTGTGTGAGGCGAAGCTCTCCTTTCCCCTGCCAGGAATTGAGGCTCCCCCAAAGCACTGCCTAGGGCTGGGAATCTCTATGAGGCCATGGGCTGTTAATTCTTTTTGGGCACATCACTCAAGCCCCACCTTTCCTCCAACAAGGGTCTCATTAACACATGGATTTCAAATAAAATTACATTTAATAAGTAATCATGAAAAAATAATGTGCTGGGGATATAGTTCAGGAACAGTGCCTGTATGGCAAGCATGAGGTCCTGAGTTCGATTCCTAGAGACAAAAAAAAATTAGGATACTGGGCCCATTTCTTTTTTATCAGCTGATGAAGCAAACCAAATTTACCAGCTTGGCACGGGCAAGAATTTAAACAAAAGCAGGCTTCAGAAACAGAACCCCACATTTCCAGGAAGCAGGAGCAGCTCGGGAGCTGCAGCGCCTGGTCATGCAGCAGGCAGCACAGGGCGATGCGGAAGGGCACACACAGACCGTTCCTGCCCAGTGTTCTAAGGAACCTGTTCCACCCGCTCAGCCTGCCCTGCTGCAGGATGCTTCCAAGTTGCCATGCCCTTGGGCAAGAATTTTAATTTGATTTAACCCCAATAAAATAGTTTCTACTTTATTATAAAATTGAACTGGAATGAATGAAAATTACCTGACAAGCTATAAACTGCTATTTAGGTGAGGAAAAAAAATACAAGGTAAGTCTGGTTCCATCCCTGCGGAGTGCACCTGGGAGCTCCTTTCCCACCCACTGCAGTGGAAGTGCAGCCTACAGTAAGGGGACTTGTTATTCAGGTAGGTCTCACAGGTCACATTTAGAAATACACCTGGGGTGGGGCTACAGATCAGTGGCACAGCACCTTCCTGGCAAGCACAAGGTCCTGAGTTTGATTCTCAGCGCTAAAAAAAAAAAAAAAAAGAAAAAAAAAAGAAAGAAAGAAAAAAACCCTGAACCTGGAGAATTCCAAGAGGTACCTGGCATTCATCTCATGCGTAGAGGGGATCATAACAGTGAACAAGTGAAGACCACACTTCACAGGGTGAGGTGGAGGGACCGGAGCTCAGCAGAGAGCAGAGGAGTGCGGGAGACAGAACAAGCCCAGGGTCAGCTTGGCTCCGTCACTGGGGACTGCACCACAGGACAGCCCAGCAGACATCATCCTACCAACACCAGGATTCCAGCCACAGGAAGTTCCCTCATCGGAGCTGGGCAGTGGGGAGCAGCCTGGGGCCCACAGGGTGGCTGTGTCTGGGCAGGGTACTTGCCCTGTCTCTGGCTCCAGACCCCTGATCTACTAGCTTGAGAAAGGTAGCACCGTGGGAACAAAGTCACAGCCACAGCCCCTGCTACCTACACGACAAGAGACTGGCCCCACCCACTCCGCTGCCCTCACAAGGAACACTGCATCTCATGAGCCCAATGGGACCCAGCTATACAACAGGGACCCTTGCACATGGCTGACCTGAGGCCCCCACAACAGGAAATGTCACCCCTTTCACCTGAGGAGATGAAGACTGCACATCCTGGAGCTGGAGCCCATCCCTATGACCGCAGCCTTCCAGTGTTGCCACCACCACAGGACAAGGTACACATCTGCCACAGTTCACACCCATCCCCGTCAAAGGGCCCCATTGGCAGGAAGATCTGCCCCTGCCAGGCCTGAGGCCTTCCCCTATGGGTCGCTGGCCGAGATGAGGGCAGCATTCAGCAAGCACTCTCCAGAGTCCTGCTCACATACCCAGCCACCTCCACTCACTGCAAAGTCCCACAGCTGCCTCCACTTGCATCTGGGGTCCCCACTGAGACGCTCACAGCTGCCAGGGAGGGCACGATGGTTGAGGAATCAACACAGAGATTACATGTATGTGCCCACTTAGGACCAAAGTGAAGCATCACATCCAACCAACACCCTACGACTCATCAACAGGAAAAAGTCCTTTTCTGAAAAGATAGTCCATAAAATCTGAAGAGGCAACTGTTACGTCAGAAGTGCAGATAATGCTGCACAGTCACAGAAGCTTAGATAGGCAAGGAAACAAGAAATATAATACTCTAAAGAACAGGGCAGGGCCAGCCAAATAGCTCAGCAGATTAATGCACCTGCAAGCAGGCACAGGGGCCAGGGGCTAGATGCCTGGGTCAGTCCTGTCGGTCCCGCCCCCACCCCCACCCCCAGGGCACGCTGAGCTGGCAAATGAGACTGGGCATGGTGGTGCAAGACTGTAATCCCAGCTCTCGGGAGGCTGCAAACAGGCGGATCACTACAAATCCAATCTAGTAGTGAGATCCTGAACACCCTGTAGACCCTTCTCTAAAATACAAAAATAAAATAAGAACAGGGCAATCCCCAGACACACATTCCATAGGAAAAGAAACTTAAGAAGTGTCCAAAAATTGCAGAGTAATGCGTAATGAGTAATTCAGAGGAATAAACCTAAAAAACCAACAGCATACATAAAGAAAATCCAACAAGAAAAGGAAAACAGTTTGTGGTTAGAATGAGAAATCCAACAGAAACAGACAAGTGTTAAAAAGAAAAAAGAAAAAGAAAAACTTGGAGCTCAACAATTCAATCAGCTAAAAATAAATATAACTCATAACTTCCACAACTGACTATACTGAAAAAAGAATTTCTGAACTTGAAACAAGTCAGATAAAATATGAATCACAGAAGAGTGAAGAAACCCTACCAATAAAAATCACTACATCATATAGACAAACAAGACACTGCAATTTTATACACACGTGCACCCAGTGCTGGAGCAACACCACAACAAGTAAACCTCATCAGAAGACTCCAATGCCACAGCTAGGATACCCCACTCCCACCAACAGTCAGACTGTCCAGACCAAAAGGAGTAACACATACTCCAGATCCAAAAGACTGACAGGCCCTCACTGAACGTCTCAATCAGCAGGACCATTGTTTTCATCTGCCAGCACATGGCACACACTAAGGATAGATTACGTGTTAAGTCACAAAACAAGGACCAACAAATTAAAAATAAATCAAAATTGGGGCTCAATGGTACAGGTGTCTCCCTGACAAGCTCAAGGTCCTGAGTTTAATTCCCAGTACCAAAAAAATAAAAATAAATCATGATCCTATTGGCTGGACATGGCGGCACATGCCTTGTAATCCTAGCACTCAGGAGGCTGAGACGGGAGGGCAAGTTCGAGGCCTGCCTGAGCTACAAAGTGAGTTCAAGTATGAAGAAATAAAACCAGAAGCCAAACAACATAAGAAACCTTAGAAATGGAAAAAATACGTGGAAATTAAATATGTTCCTAATTTACGAAGGAGGCAAAGAAGAAGCGCAAGGGGGGAGTTTAAAATATCTTGAAAGAAAAATAGAAATATAACCTACCAGATCTATAGGTTTCAGCAAATGCAATGCAAAGGGGCAAATTTAAAATATTAAATGGCTATACCAAGAATATAGAAAGATTTCAAATAAGTAACACAGCTTAAGGAAGTAAAGCACAACAAATCAAGTACAAAATTAATATAAGAGAAAACATAAGATCACAAATTTTAAAAATGCTTTAAAGATAAAGTAGTTATTTTTTCCAAAAGATAAAATCAGCAAGCCACTAATCAAGCGAACAGACAGAAAGAGAAGATCACAATAAAAATCAGAGATAAAAATAAGATACTCTAAGTAACCAGTGAAACGTACAGAATCATCAGCGGCCATTATGAACAACTGTACCAGCAATGTGAAAACTCAGAAGTAGGGATAAATTTCTGGACACGTGTACCCTGCCAATATTAAACCACAAAGACAAGAGAAAACCTAAACAAACAAACAAGCATGCAATGACATTAAATCAAGAGTAAAAAGGTTCTCAACAAAGAA